CCCCCCCCCTTGGCAGGGATTAAACCACACCCCAGGTCCCACCACCCTCTGAGTGAGGCTCAAAGGAATTCTGTGTCCTGCCGACCAAGAGCTCAATTACCTCGATCAATATTTGGCCACTGCTTTCACCATCTACATACTTAACATCAAGTACCCCTTCAAGGCTTATCTGTACTTCATTCCCAGCACTCCACACTCCTATGACTCTCCAAAAGAGTCAGTTTCATCTACAAATCTGCAGAACCAGAAGGCTGCTGAGACAGCAAGTTTGGGAACAGTCCTGAAGAGTTTAAACTCCCCTCACGAGGTTACAGGCAACGTAACATGAACCGTGTCAGGGAAACCTGTGATTCCCACGCTGCCATGGCAGGGATCATGCCAGAAAAAGCCCCACACAAAGCCCCTGTGACTGGATTAGCAGGAGGGCTTCGGCAAGAGAAGCTTCTTGCAGCACAGGCAAACAGCTGATAATGCTCAGAAAATGGTCTGACCCTCTGCTCGTGACAGACCTGAACCACGGGCAGGTTCTGGCTGAGGTTTCTGCCTCCCTCCTGGGCACTCAGCAGCCCACACTGCACCACAGAGCTCTGCAGGAGACCAAGGACACTGATCATAAACATGAGCTAAATACATAGTGAAAAAAATGCAGGAAGATGCCAGAGGCTTTGGGTAAAGAGACAGGTGAGATGCAGGGGAGTGTCACCTCATCTGTACCAACAGCCAAGAGAACAGGTTCCAGGAGACCCCAGAGGTGGGACTCTCAAGGAGCAGCCAGCTCTGCACCCCCCCCGAGTACCAGGGGAAGGAGGGACCCCCTTGCTAAAATGAAGCCCCCAAGGTTTGTTGGGCAGCTCTTTGGCACAGGCTGTGGTGTCAGAAAACACAAGAGCCCCTGGGTGGTGTCACAGGGTTTATTATCCCATCTGTACAGTCCTGGGTCGATGCAGTTTAGATGATTCCAATCTGGAAAGAAGCAAAGCACATTACAAACAGGTGTTGAGGGGGCAGGAAGGCAGAGCCCCCTCCCCAGACATCACTGCCAGGGCTGAACCTCCCCGGGATTCCTGCCCTCTGAGGACAGGCTTCCTCCTCCCTGCAGCACCTTACACAACCATCTGAGACATTTACTCCACGGCGACCCTTGAGCTAAGTCACACTCCCTCACTCCAGTTTGCATCCCCACTACCTCCTGCCTACCCCAGCCACCTTCAGGACTGAACTGCTGCTCCTTCCAGCCACCCACTCAGCAGAAACCCTCCTCCACCCAGGCTGGCAGCACAGGGCTGGCCAAGAACACTGTTAGGACAAGCACTTTCAACCTAAAAGCTGCAGAACAGTTTCTACATCCTTCCCACTGATACTCCAGAGCTGTTTTAATCCTGTAGAGAAGAGCCCCTCCCTGGAAGAGCTGAAGAACAGCAACAATACTCCCTCAGGAACCTTTCCCACTCAACCCCACCATCTTCCAGGCAGAGCTGCACTTTGTCAGACAACGTGCTCTGGCTTCTGGACACTGGGATTCCATGTTAGATGCAATCAAGGCCAGAAGTGCTGCCAGGCCCAAGGCACACGTACACCAGGAAGAACAACCAGGCACAGGAGATACAAGATAACAGGAGCTGCAAAGTTTCAGGTTTCTCACCTTGTTGGCTACATCCAGTGCATCATAATCCGGAGCCAGTCGGACATAAGCCTTCTTCTCCCCATCAGGCCTGGGGAGAAGCAGGAGGCATCAGAGCAGAGGCACTAGCTCCCCCCACCTCCTCCCTGCTCCCACCATCACCCTGTGCATCAGTGGTTCCTTTGGAAGCATCACTCTACTCAGTGGTCAAAAAACGTTCACATCACTTGCACAGGATTCCCTGAGGAAACCCACCCCCTGCTCTGCCAACATCTCCTACGTCCACTCAGATGCACAAGGTGCATTTCTCAAAACTGTGAAACACTGAAAATCCTACAGAGCTTCATCCCACACTCCCCAAGAGCACCCACAACAGCTGGCACTCGGACCTGTTTCCCTTTTTCTGCTAAAAGCCACTCCAGGCTCGTGAAGCCCTTCATACCCCATCATTGACCTGGTCTCCCCCATTCCCACCTGATCAATGTGTTGACCTTGGCCACATCAATATCATACAGCTTCTTGACAGCCTGTTTGATCTGGTGCTTGTTTGCCTTGACATCAACAATAAACACCAGAGTGTTGTTGTCCTCAATCTTCTTCATGGCTGATTCTGTGGTCAGAGGGAACTTGATAATGGCATAATGGTCCAGCCTGCAGGAGAGACCCTGTGGTTACCAGAGGCTAGCAGACACCTCTGCACTTCAGGGGCTTTTTCTGAGGTGCATCAGTCACCAAAAAAAGTTCTAATCACGAACTCTCAGGCTTTGGTCGCTTGAAATCATCACCTGCACCCCAAACACCCACTGCTCTGCCCACAAGGTGTGGGCTGGGCTCCCTGCACAGCTGGCAAGATGGCACCCTGGGACATGCAGCAGGGCACAGGACCCCACACCACCCACCCACGAGGCTGCCCACC